TCAGCAGGAGCCCGTTCTCCGAGGCAGATGTAGCTGTGAGCTGAGGACTGTAGGGAAGCCCTGCCTTTCTAGTGCAACTTCCCCCTTTCTCCACAGCAGCAGCAGGAGAACATCTGGGCTGCGGGAGGGAGGGGTTCCCCCCAGGACGGAGGCCTCCCTCTCAGACAGGCTGCTGAGGGAGGCATTTTTGTTGGGTTTTGTTTGGTGCCGACAGGAGGGCTATCAGTAGTGGTGTGTCTCTACAGTGCTGGATTTCTCTCCATTCTGATTTTCCATTTCCCCACTTTTAGATGGGAGGTTTGCACTCACCTTCCTCGTCACAGCAACACAGCGTGCCAGCTCCTATGCAGGCAGGTGCCAAAAGCCTGCTAGGACTCGTAACCAGTCTCTCACTGCTTAACAACTCTGCTGACATGCAACATCTGCAACTTCTGCTTTGCCATCACTAACAGCTTGCAGTTTTCTTGATGAATTCCTGAGTGGTTTCCAAGGTGCACTACCTTAATTTGTGGTCACCATGGGACCCTTGCTGTGATCCCCTCTGATGATCTTCCTACATACCTTGCAAAGATGAGCCTATCCATCCTCTCTGGTAATAACAACTGGTTGGTAAGACACTTGATGGCATTTTCATGCTAGCAACAATTATAAAAACAATGAGCATGACTTGTTGCGAACAATTTATTAGGCAGCAATAAATAAGAATTTAGCAGAAAGAACTATACAGAAATAAGGCATATTAATGTTAAATATGTAACTGACACACATTTTAACATTTTTCCTCTAGTTTTCTAACAAAGTGCTACATAGAGAAATGTATTTATGATGCCAGTGCCAACTGATAGCAAGGATGCACTACGATAGACCTGACTGTAGCATTATTCACCTTAAATAATATATAACAATCTGTGAAGATTTACTGTTATTTCTGCCAGTGAAGTTTAAGTAGAAAAGTACAGCTTGCTAAAAGATTACAAAATATGTCTCCTGTTCACTTTTTTTTTAACTTCTTACCACTGTAATTTCTTAAACTGCACTTAACAAGTAGTAAGGTATGAGTAAAGTTACTACACAACAGCACAGTTCCTAACATTCATTTTAACTTTTATTTGAAATTAAGAGGCAATGGTTATTTTTAATTTTTTTTTTTAAACTTTTTTACAAAATATTGCACACTGTTTTAGCATGCAGTTTACATGGAAGAAATAGCCAAGTGCACTTAAAACCCTGAAATACAACCAGAAATTGTAAAGATTTGCGTTATGGATCCTATTTTAACTTACAAAGATATGTTTCAGACTGCATATAGGGTCCCACCTTACACTTGGAACCCATCTTGTTGAGACCCAGCTGTGACTCTGCAAAGACCAGGCAGAGTGCTTACCAACTGCATCTGACTTCTTGGCAGTATAGATCTTCATTCCTGCATCCCGCACTGCTTGAGCCTCAAGAAGCTCAGTAATCAGTAGGAAAACTAGTTTAACAGAAATAACTTAGTACATCCTATGTGAGTTTTCATTCCTGCATATGTGTTGCAATCCAGGGTAAGATTTATTAAAACTTTCTGAAGTCCTCTGAGAAAGACTCATTTGTAAATCTGTATCTCCCTCTCCTCCATATACACGTATTATATTGCACAGCAAAAATAAAAATCCATTTTTTTAAAACAAGCATGCTAAACATTTAATATGGCTTCTGAATGATTTAAAGTATTTCCCTTTTGACATCCTCATGCAATATTGTAGAATAAATACGAATACAAGTATGAGAAAGTTAAGAGTGAAAATAAAGCCAGTTGCAACATTTGTCAGAAACCAAACAAAACCCAAGAGTTCATCAAAAGTAGTTGCTCAAAGGTCCAGCTGGTCTTTTAAGCATACTTATGAACAGTATCTTAAAAATAAAATGTGTCTACAAAATACTGTAACATATACAACCTCCTGGATATTCCACAGAATGACCGGGAAGATAAATAGGGTAACAAAGACTCGGTTAATGGCACTGGTGGTCCCACAGGCCCCTGGGAACAAAAGCCTCATTCCATTCACGCTCCACCAACTTGGTAAACCATTTACATTTCGTTAGCTTTACTGGTTAAGCTCAAGCCCTACAAATGCCTATATATGAAACACAAAAATATTTATAAAAATAATATGTTGTATAGCTTTTTAGAAAAATAAACCATGCAGCTTCTGTACAAAGTTAAAAAAAACTGTACAAAGTGACTTTTCTGTTGTCTAAAATTCATGTACATGGAAGTCTTCTGTTACAATGAGAAGCTGTTTTTTGCTTGGCCATCAGATGCTGTTTCATAACTTCTGCTGATTTCCATCATTCGTTTCTTTCACTGGACATTAACTGGCCATTCAATTTTATCAGAAGTTTTATGACGAGACCTGCCTAGATTGAAAGACATCCAATTAAATTCTGTCAGCATTTCAGGACTTATACACAAAGTATATGACAAATGCGAGTAGATAAAAATAGTAAGGTAGAAGTTGCATCATTTTAGAATTAAGGAAAATAAAACCTGGATTTTTCTCAGCTATCAGAAAGTGTTTTTCAAAATACTCAGTCACTTCTCCTATAACACCGTAACATATCAGCATCAAAAGCAACTACTGTCAAAATATGCAAGCTACTCACAGCTGTAATTTTCTCACAACACATGCTAACATGGCATATTACCACTGGCTCAGACTACAGGTAAAATGTGCATTTTCCATCAGCCAGCCACAAACACTATCAAAAGTTGCTGGTAGGAATTGCAGTGAAGTTGCTTTACAACACCAGTTCTATCTAATCTCAAATTTGCTAGTTTTGATAGCAAGTTACCAGCTCTAACTCTAGGATTCTCATCATGTTTAGAATTATCCTTAGAGTCTGAGAGACTGGGCACATGCAACAGTTTCAATTTAAAAACAAACACACACCCACCAAACAAAAAACAAACAAGAAGGATTAGAGATGCATTTTATGTATTTTGAACGCTGAAAGCTTCACGGGTTAGAAAAACAAAAAACCATTCTGAAATATTAAAAAGAAAAATTTACAATTATTTTTATGGGGGCTGTGCTTAGACTTCTTTTATACTGTACAAGGGTGGTCAATCTTAAGAGAGAAGAAGCTTGTATCTAGTTCAGGGAAAAAATAAAAGAATATGAAAGATGAAAAATTACAATGCTTACCTGTTTGGTATGCACAATAAAGCTCATTTTGTTTTCCAGACTGTGGATTTGAAAACATGTATCTCCATCTCCCAACTGCCACATAAAGCAACCATACTTTAGGCTGAGGAGTAAAGCCTACAATGAAATGTAGGAAACTGTCACTCAGAAATTATTTGCCATACTTACAAACTGAACTTCCTTTCATTCACTTAGACAGGATTCTGATTTAGAACATTATGCTCCACAACCTAGTTGGAGCTTATGAAGTAGTAAAGTGGAAAAATACAAGGCGCCTTAGAAAGATCATAAAATTTTGGAAATCTTCATGTCAAGTTTATCTGAACAGTCAGACATGAAATGACTTCTTGCACGAAGAATTTAAGAGAACGGAATTAAGCTTTAACAGTTATCATTGGCAGTTCACTTAAGCTGACCTTTGTTTCCATGTTGAGTAGGTGCAGCCCTTTTACATTTACTCCTACATACACTTTGATGACTTTGTGGCTACTTGAACTTGCTTTGGTGAATATCTGTCCTGTGAAAAAAGCTGCTCCATAGGTAGGAATTTCCCAGCAGTTCTGCAGGAACATGCGCTGCAGGTGGTGCATCTCCTTACTCACACCTTCACTGGTGCTCAGGTTCTAGGAATAAAGGAACAATGGCAATCAAGAAGTCTTCCCAAATAGTTGTGGTTATTTGAAGAAAATGCACTGTTTAGTGGAATTCCCACCAAACAAGTATTCCCAAAGTTCTTTTCCAGCAACCGTCTTTCCTACACTTAAATTAAAGCCTACAGCCCAAGAAAGGCTCAAACGCCAAAAGAGACTGAGGCAGAAAGCCAGTACCTGCACGAGCCCCAGAAATCTGAGCCACAGTCACCTTGCCCCTGCAGGGTCCCACAGTTTTGCCTCTCAGAGGTGTTTGACTCATCAGGGATAAGCAGCTATGCACCCATCTGACACTAAATGCTTCAGAGTCCCCAAAACTAAGGACTTTTCTTCTTTAAGAGGTCAGATCCAGTGAGGCATGGTTAGATGAGCAAATGCCTCCTCACAAAGAACACAGATTTTTTTTTTTTGTCTTTTCTAAGCAAAACAGAGGTGCAGATTTCTTATCTTCAGTGGAGCCTTCATTCAGAATGAGACAGGCTTCTGTTTCTTCCACTTCAGTAGAGTGAAACAGTCACAACAAAGGATCTCTAGAGTGCTCCCACCTCAAAATAGACTGATGTCAAGTACCCTAACAAGCAAAAATCTTGGCTGGGCCACACATGACATGAGAAGGCACAGGCACAAGACAGAGCACAAGTCTTCAGCAGTTATGGGGCCATGACTGGGGGTGTGTTGGATGCAACTAACCTCTTTGGATCCACACCCTAAATTACAGCTTATCTACACAGCCATTTAAAAACTGTAAAATATATTATTATCTTTGAATCAGAAGACTGCAACTCCTTCCCTCTTCCCCTATTCCCCACCCCCCAAAATAATGGCCTAAGAGCAGAAGTCAAGGAAGCTCTGCTCATTCTCGCATATTATCTGATATATATACAGCAGTCTTAGAAATACCCCCATCATCTGCTCCTTCAACTGTATTAGAACAGGAATGATCTGCTGGTTTCTGACAAAAAAGTTGTAGGCACCAGGAGAAAGTTTATGACTGAGTAACCTCATCTCCAAAGAGAAGCAAGGCCTGAAGACATTCCCTGGGTGCCTCCGCAGCGTTTCTTGGCAGCTGCCTTTAGTGATGCGTCAGCCAGTACAGTCCTCCCTCTGACACACCTCACTTTTTCCACAATTTTAAATAAAATTCACAAATTTAACCTTCAGGTGCCTCTGAGCCTGTTCAGAATCCACAGTCCTCCTTTAGATGTCTTTTACAGAAGCAGCTCAAGTCCACGTTTAAGAATTTTGCTCAATTAACTGCTCTAGTCTAAGGCATTTGTGTGTGCTCACATCAGCAGCACTGTCAGAGTCCTGATGTATAAGTGACAACAGCAAAATGGACTTTGTGGATCTATCACTACATGCTGATGTGAAAACATAAGGGTGCCTTTTTTTACATGTATGCCTGAATTGGCAGAACCCCCAGTAAACAGTTAACACTGACGATAAATCAACATATAACAATTATATTTACTTCTAACACACAGATCAACTGTAACCGTACAAGAAAAACAGCATTCCAACAACCCATCCCAAAAACTCAGAACGCTACACTTCTGTCTTTACATCCCAGTATATTTGTTCATTAACTAACAACCAAACAGTCAAAAAAAATGTTTAAGACAGGATTTTCTACTATTTGATTATTTATCTCACCTTGTATTCATGAAGTATCCTGTTTGTCCAGTGAGGAGCTTTACTTTTTAGTTTAGTGATGGGTACTATAGATTTAAGATTTTCTTCACTAAGAAAAAAATAAAGCAGAGAAAAAGTTTTCCTTCACAAAACAAAGTAAGGAGAAAGAACAATGTCTGCCAGTTTTATCTTTGAGTCACATAATAAGCTCAACAGTCAGCTCCTGCTCTATCTTGCCTCATCTGGTGAGACGCTTTCCTGAAATGGAAGCTAAGGCCTCCTAAGATACAGTGTAATTCTCAGTTAATGGAGAACCAGCTTTCTGTCACACACTTTGTGTCATGCATCACGGACACAGCAGGGAGAGGAAATGCTAGCAGCAGAACACGTGACTCTTCCTGGATTACAGGCCAGTTTGGAAGCCAAAATTCTATAGAACAGCCATTTACAGCAGAATATCACGTACTCAGAAAAGATGACAGCTCACAGATACTCTTCCCTTTCTTGCTGTATTCAGCATCACCAAGGACTTAGCCCAGGTAATTTCCACAGGAAAATTAGAGGTTACATGATACGAAAGTGAAGCTATTTATAGAAAATGCCTTTAAAAAAAAAAAAAAACAAATCCAAAACAAACCAAAACACAGTAAACAAAAACACTAAAAGGAAGCCTTTACTAGTTTGCTTTTATGTACAATTAAGATAGTTTCAAAAACCTAGTGATGTAACCTACTTAATAATTCTTAACCCCTATTTGTCACTAACTGCACATGTGATCTACCAAGGAAAAACTCTGCACAGGACAAGGAAAAACTCTGAACAAGACAACACATCTAGATTTTTAAAGCTGACAACACTCACATACAAACAACAGCCTGGCTACATTTTTGAAATTACCCATCTTTTAATAACCATTTACGTCAACTACAACAAAAATTCAGAACATAAATCTCTTCATCTGCCTGAAGAAGAACAAGTCAAGATATTTTCCAACATCTTCATTTGCACTTATTGGGCCCAAACTATCTTTCCAAGTAGTCCTGTGTACAGATCCAAAGGCTCCCATCGAACAGGCTGGGCTCAGAAGCAGGGTGCTGCCTGGCCTTCCCGTGAAAGGAGCACCCCCAAAGCCACTGGCATTCAGCAGGGGGTAGTTCCCTGTCAGGCCCAGCCACCTTTAACTGCACACTCCTGCAGGTGGGCAGCCCCACTTAAACCCAGTTCTCCTTATGCTCTGCCTATCAACTGTGTAACTGCATGACAAGATGAGTCAACAGCTGAACCCACTGAACACCTCACCCAAAAGTTCTCCTGTCAGTGAGCTCGTTCTCTTAGCTTACTCTCTAATAGTACAGTCTCTGCACCTCACAGAAGGAAGAGAAAGGAATAAACAACCAGAAAAACCCAAACTGATGCCAAGATAGCTCAGCTGATGCTATGGTGGATGAGCGGAGATGAGAAGTACAGCAGCATTCTATTGCAGCACAGCTGCTGTTGCACGACTGAACTGAGGTGGGGGTGGTGGGGGTGGAGTGCAGGTGCACGCCATAGCAAGCTGGAGTCCTGATGTACTCAGATACTGTAGAAAAGCATGTGGGAGGAAAAAGCCATGTCCCAAAACAGCTCAGTTGTTGCTGTGCTGGCAAGCAGAGAGGAGGGGAGAAAAAGCACCACTTGGCAGAGTCCCACTGGTGCTGTTTCTGACCAATTTAGTGGAACAGTTCACATACAAATGAGAGAACAGAAATAATATCTTTGCATTGTCTCTCCTCTTCAACGAGGGAAGAAATCTTATCCCAGAAGTTGGTCTAACTGGACATAATAAGAGGTTTCTTCAGGATTGTCCAAAGTCTCAGTCCTGTCAAAATCCTTCACTTATCTTGATATTATTTTATCTCAGTACAGACTTAGAGAATACAGAACCTCCATCCCTCTGCCTTGGACTGCAATAATTAAGGTTAATGTATTTTTTCAGACCCCATGTCCACCTTCTATTAACGCTACAAGGGTTATTACTCTGAACTAGAGTTCAGTGATAGAAAAAAAAATAACATATTAGTTTTAAATCTGAGAGTTCCATAGTAAGTGCTATCTAGAAAGACGTAATCTAAAATAATTTTAAGTTTTAAACACACATACTTACTTTAGAAAACCTTGTTTATGTTTCTTGCTCTCATAATTTCCATAGACTATTTGTAGAAGCAGACTTGCCAGTGTGATCAGCTTGGCATCAGGTGACGTATAGAAACCTTTCAGTAAATTATATCTGGCTTCATCAAAAAGGATAAGAATAGCCAATGGATCCTCAATCTGTTAAAAAAATTTAAATAATATGATTTCTTTGTAAAAGAAAATGAGTTTAGGAACTATAAATACAATTTCCCACTGATTCACAGATAGAAGACAAAGGTGGGCTCCTGACCAAAGTGTTCATTTTAGTAAAGCTCTGCAACAGAAAAAATGACATGTTTTCATTGACTTAATGATCACTTCACTGATCTAACACACTTGTGACTAGCATACCATGCACAATTAAAATGTTCAGAGAAATATTGACATCTGTGGGGTTCCCCACCCCCCATGAATCCATTTTGAATAACGTCTGAATAATCCCATTGAAACTGATCAATTAAATATCTGAAAAATCACAGCACAAGGAAGAGAAAGGAAACTGGGCAGGTTGTTTTTACCTGTATGACAGACATCCTAAGTCTGTGGGCCTCAGTCTCTATCTAACAAACATTTGGGAAGGTGAGAAATGAGAGAGTGCAGGAGGGCAAGAGACTAAAACAGTTACAGAAGAGGATAGGTTTGGTTTAAATAAGTTTGGAAATTACATAAACACAATGAGAATTGATGGTCAAAGTATTCTGACTCTGACCATGACTTCATGCTATCACTTCCAAGTGCAGACCTTTTTTTCTATTTCCAGTGGAAGTCTCACATCTCTTCTCAGGAAAAGCTGTGAAGTTTCCCTTTGAGGATCCAAGTTTGTCAGTTCAGTGAATATTTCAGGCCAGTCCCGAATATGCTGCAAAGGCTTGTGATATGGCTTCAGCTGGAGGCCTGAAAAGTAATAGGTTTTGTGTGTCAGTAAACAAGCAGAATAACCCAATGCACACATATATATGGTTAAAGGCTGCACCAAACTCAGAGTATCTGAAATTGAGGAGTTATTAACAAACCCTATTCCCTATGTTTTCTAAACTGCTATAGATAAAAGATTCTGAAAATAAGATGTATTGACAAAACTCTCAGCATCAATTCACTAAATGCACTAGTGATGAACCTTTGTTACTTTCACTTTCTCAAGTTTGAAGTGGTATTTAAAAATTTAATGGAATACCAAGATGGATCTTAAAATCACAATAATAAAGCATTAGAGACTGTTCTCTCAATTATTATGGTAGAAACACAAAGTCCAATGATCTTATTTCTGACACCAAAATACAGATATAGTTTATCTTATAAGCATATTTGCCATTTTTGGATATATATCAACCTTTAAGAACAGACATTCTTTTTTTTTTTTTCCTCTATAAAACATCTTGATTTTTAGCTACAGTCAATGTTTCACGTTCTCCCATCCACACAAGAGCTGAGAAATCAATGCAGAGCTTCTGAATACAGCCCTACCATGTACTGCAGTTCATACCTTCAGTTCTGCTCATTCACCTGCCCTGCCTGGCCTTGTGATCACTACTGCTTGCCTGTTTTCTAGTAGTGAGGAACTAGGAGGCTGGATCTGCCTCATCCTCGCTGCCCTGGCTCTCACATGGTGACATTTCACATTATATTTAAATCATTCAAAGGACGTGTTGTAATGCAACATGTTTTCATTGAGCATAGTCTATTCACTCTACTACTTGTCCACCGTACATGCAAACACAGAGAAACATCTGTCCTGCAAACCAGGAACTATGGTCATTGTATTTTGTACAGTTGTACAAAACAAACTGCAAGAAACATTTTATAGCGAAGCTTCTCCATCAGTCCTTTGAAGGTGTAAAACTGAAGCTTCCTGATTTTCAAACTTAAGCTAAATACCTAAAGAATGACTTGTTTTTAAACAAACAACATATCAGTGAGCTCTTCACCTCCAAGGCAATCACTGATTTGAGTAAAACATAACACACATATTTAGAAAAAGCACAAGCTGCAAGACTTCAACACACAAACACTTCCTTCTCTTCCAGACAGTAACATGTATGTTTGACTGAGGGTTACAGTAGTCATGTGGCATACTGCAAAGTAAAAAAACCAAATGGCATGACACTGGGAGAAAAAGGTTAAAAAAAGTATCAAATACCACTTCAGTGGAAGTCTGACAACAGTAAGTAAAATTCTAAATGCCAAGGTTCTGTGTTAATAGTACTGTCAACACAGTACCCTACCAGACCTGTACTGTGCTTTGTACATCCATTACAAGGTGTCCCATAGCTCCCTTGTTGCAGCAGGACTCTTTACCACATCTTCTAAGAAAACACAAACACAATCATTGACTCTTTTGTGGTTCTATTTATCTTTTGCTACATATCTCAGACTACCACTGTAACACACCTCTTATTTAAATCAGAAATACAAAACAATACAGCACGTATAATAATTAAGTTTTTCATCAGAACTCTCATCAAATATATCTGAAAACTTGTTTATCAAAGATCTGTTCTGTGCAAAACACATGGAAATTCATATGATTAAAGGACCTAATTTAAAAAAAAACAACATTATATCAGCTTTAATTACTAGGTTTAGATAGATTAAACACTATTAAAAAGAACTCCATGCATGCAATTTCAGATACTCTGGAAGAAAAATACCACTAAGATCAGGGTAAGTTAGCAGCAACAGCTATGCCGGTAAAAGTTCCCCGTAACAGAACGTCAGTCTGGACCAGCCTCATCTTCCTAGATGAAATACATTCTAGCTGCCACATTGATACAGGGTACCCAAAAGGATGGCTAAAATGGAGAGCTCTCCATAGCTCTGAAAGCACAGTTTGAAGCCACCAGGCTGTAAAGGCTGGCAGCTGATCTACTGGACAAAAGCTTAAGCAGAGGAAATAGAAAAGTTGGTCTCATTCCCTATGCAAAGATAGAAAGAACACCTCCTACAGGAATTGGTCTCTGACAAGGGCAAAGGATATTAACAGAAGGCCTAGATACAAACTAACTCCTAAATGCTGACTTTTAAAAGCTGATAGAGAGTAATACAGAACTGTGAGAAAGCATGTTTCCTATTTTCCTAAGAAAATATAATTTTTTTCCTAAAGGCAAACAGAAATAAAAAAGCTATGATAAGTTCTCTGGTTTAACAGCCTTCCTTGTCACTTACTGAGGTTTTCAGAACAGATCCAGATAGTGAAGTACTGCTGAGTCTCTTGAGACAGACGCATCCCCTCCATGATCTGCTGCACAGTAGTATTGTTCCCATGCTTTAGCTCAACAGAGCGGTAGGACCCATCCATACGGTAAATTCGTGCCTTCTCGTACTGCATGAAAATTAAACAAAGAAACTCTTAAAATCCTTTCTGTTGGTGCTTAGTATGGAAAGTATATGAAGAGGAAAGCAATTTTACCATAATTTAGCAGCATCCACACTGTTCAGAAAAATGACACTGCCCAACTCCTACACATTTACTATTTGCCAGAACTGCTTGTTTGATGTCCTATGCAAGTTCTTATACTGTGCCTTTACCACAATAACTACAAGAAGGATTTTACTGACGTTTTGAGGACCTTGCTTCTGTTGAACTGAAAGGCAAGCACACATTTAAAACTTCCCTGAGAGATCTGGGCTCAATGACCTACGCATATCCCAAAATATCCACCTCCCTATATATGGGCAGGTTATGAATTACTCCCTTCATTAGCCAATACTGAAAAGAGTGATTTCTCAGAGGGAAGCACCACCACAGATCCCCGTACAATAGAGAATACAAACTCACTAAGATCTTTTAGCATTTCTACATCACTACTAATATATCGTTTTTCCCCTTCAGGTCCGACATGGCTTTTATCAAATTGCACATTATTATAAGGGCCCAGAATATGCCTCCTGAAAGACATACTGAAACTTAAATTAGGTGCTTACAACATACACACACAAGTCAAAAATCAGTTACACTTCTTGTGCTCATCTCCCTAACAGGTTACAAGTTTCAGCTCCTTGAATAAACAAGTTGCAGGAATTTGTAATTTCCCTTCTTCAGATCTGCTCAGTCATCAAGAACTGAGACGTCAATCTGAAAAACTTTTGGAATAAAATTAATGCCTTGGAAAATGACAAGGGACTGAAAAGGGCTGGAATGGAAAACATCCATCTATTTTTGCTGCAGTGGTCACTGAGAGTCCCATCACAGCAATTTGTAGCATTATGTTTTAAATTATAATGTAACATTCAATAGTAATGAGTGACAACACAGCATCACTTTTGATGTGAAATCTACTTAGAATGTGTGCATTAGTCTTTCAGGGTCATTCAACACATACATCTGCCATTTGATCAACGGCATAATGAGATCCCTAAAACAAAGGAGATCAATTCCTTCATTAATCATTTTGGAAGACTCATTCATATAGAGTGAAATGAAGATAATCTAAAGCATCTTGAAACATTCACGGGTTTACTGGCACCTACCCACAGAGATACAAGTTGCATCTGAAGACAAAGAAAATAAACAAGTGGGTTTATATCATTCAGCTAATTTTAGGTCTACTTCAGGATGAGAGGAATTGCATAGTAACTTTTGTTTACTGTCCTGGCTAGATCTCCACTGGCTAAAAAGGAAGCCTGCACTGACTAACTGATGTAAAGCCTATTTTGTATAAGTCTACATTTAGCCAGCTGAATGAATTCTTTTGTTTATCAACATGTAAGATGACAATGCATAAAGGAAGCTAATGGTTGTATGACCAGAAGGTAGACATAAAATTGGTAGCTGACCCGATGCTTCTACAGACAAATCAAAACATCACATTTAAACTCCTACATGTGGTTCTTGAGCAATAAATAGAAATATTTAAAGAGACAAAACATCAGCTTGTCAATATTGACATTTAACAGTTTCAGTGTACTGCACATTTCCAATAACAGCTATAAATGAAACTAGCTCTTCTACAAGTGTATGTGCAAATTAAATGGACACTTTAACCTATTTAGAAAATAAACTCATACAGGTTTATTTATGGCTTCCTTCAGCAGTTTTGCAGCTTCTTCCCACTCATTTTGTTTGTTCTCTTCACAGACATTCAGGGGAGATCTTCCTTGTTGATCAGTAATGTGCTACAAACAAACAAAACCACTGTTAAAACATTGTTTTCACTGGAGATACGTAAAGATTTACACATTTTTTTGAGATAATTAAAATCCTTGACCTGAGTATTCAAAAAATTCAGTTGATTTTAAAAAAAAAAAAAAAAAAAAGGAAAGTAGAGTTAATGAAAAATATTTAACCATTTTTTGGTCATCTTCAAACAGGATTGTTATGGTTTACACATTGTGATTTGGACACAAAACATTTCAAATGCACAAGCTAGAAACTGTTGCTGAAACTGCTATTTCCATAGACAAACAGAACTTACTCTGTCAATTTCTGGATGATTTAGTAGAATTTGTACTATTTCGGCATGCCCACCTCCAGCAGCAAAATGAAGAGGAGAGCTAAGTTGGCCATTCAAAAGATTTGGATTGCATTTCCCTTTCTCCAAGAGCATTCGAGTAGCTTCTACTTTTCCATACCTACAGACAGGTTTAAAACAGAAGATAAGATTTTATTTTATATTTGCTGTTTCTTTCAGATAGTCCTAAATATGGAAAAGTGTATTCCTGTGCTCAAGAGTTTTTAGCTTTGAAATGACAGCAAGAACAGTGGAACATTAATACATTTGTAGAAATTAGTATCAGTTCTGCACTTCTTTGGTAGTTTTTAATCTAGTAACCATTAATTGCACACATTATAGACACGCTAAATCTTGCTTCAAACTAGCTAAGTTTGGGTAATTGTAGCAATTCAGTCATGGCAAAAGAGAGCTCAGCCTTGCTTGAAAAAAAATTAATAATCTCTGTGAGAATCAGAATAAAGCTTATGACTGTCATGCAGATGGATCCTGAGGACTCTTAAACATCATGTTGATAACTGGTAAAGCTTGTGTATACTATTTATGCAAACTTTCTGACAAACACTAAAAATCATGTAAGTTTGTGGGTTTTTTTACAACCAAGTTTGATGTTCATGTTATTCATACCATTACCTCCTATAAATACAGAAGTCTAACTTGCATAAAGGCAACACAAAAGCATTTTTACAACAACTCCATTCATTTGACTCACCAGCATGCATAATGGATAGGTGCCCAGTGGTCACTGTCTAGCTGATTGACAGAAAACTTTTTGTCCAGAAGGTGGCTTAATAAATCAGAGTCACCTTCACAAGCACTGCGGTGAAGAGGGAAGTCATCTACCCACTGGTGCTCCCTACGAATTCAAAGGGGAAACAGGAGGAAAACCCAGTTCAGAAATACTTTAACAGTTGAGAACATCGACCTTTTTAAAATTACTAACTTAGCACTAACTAGATCTACATGAAGAATAAAAATGAATCTCATGCAGCTGAAATGTGGCAGCATTCATACAAGTACTTCAGTCATGCAGTAGTCAACCCACAGCTGTCTTCATTATGCCAAGAAATGCTTCCATAATGTTTATAACCTAAACATTTCTTGATGAACCCTTTAATTGCCATGCTTCAGTACTTAGAGACTTCAAACAGAATTTAAAAAACCACATATTTATACACTAGAGCCCTAAAGTAATAGGTATCTCATTCTGACCAAGTCCACCAAGTACTACTGTAATATAACAAGACAAAATTATCCATTAATGAAGAAGGAATGTAACATAATACTTGTCCTCTGTGACACTGCTCATGCTACGTTGCCACTTTTCTCTTTTAGGAATCTGAATCTTTGAATAGTCTGGGGCTCCAAGGCCAAAGTATGGATTTATTACCACTTTGTCCACCTGTGAAGACATAATTTAAACACAAATGAAAAAATATCTTACTGAGATTTGGCTAAACAATCCCCTGTCCAGGCTGGGTATTCTCTTGAAACCAAAGTTAGTCTAGTAACATTTCATAATTAGAGAAAAAGATGTTCAAATGTTAGGATTTGAAAAACCATTTACCAGTACATGTGCAATAAAGAAATCTCATTATATTAAACATAAAAGCGTATATTAAACATAAAGCACACACTCAATGAAATGAATGAATTATAAAAAAAAAATGTATGTATGTCTCACAAATATAAAATTAAACTATAGTTCTTACCCTATTGGTATATTGAAGGTCGGATCCAAACAAAGGATTATAGATACACATATCTGCTTTCTCCAGTGCTAGCATTTTACTCTTTATTTCCAGGGCAGTATAACCCATGTGTAATGAGCTCTCTGTTTGACCAGGTTCTATAGCATAGGCAGGGTTTATTACATTTGTTTTAATTCTCTCAAGAGGAGATGGTCTGAATAAAGCTGGGATGGAGTGAGACTGGGTGTGCCGTTCATCCAACCACCTACAGGAGAGAATGGGCAAGTAATGATTTTTTCAGCAGAAAAGCACTATGTTTGTCATGCCTATCCATTATTTCATTTGATTAAAGGTTGCCTGTGTGATAATCACACATCTGATTTTTAAAAAAAAAATAATTATGTGCACAGCCCATTTTACAGCATTAAATTAATCCCCAAACCTGAAATTTTTTTGTCAAATACAGTTAAGCAAATGTATTTGCTCAAACACATTTCCTGCAGGTGCAAACTCTCAAAGGATAGGAAATTACAAGCTAAAGCAATAGTAATATTTGTTACAGCCCAAAACAGTTAACCACAACAACATTCATAATTTAGTTCACTTTCAGTTTATCAGTGTTAACAATTCTCAACATACTTGAAACAGTTTGCTTAAGGGTGAATTGAAGTTCAGGATCTGTGGTGACTTAAGCCTTCCAACTCCTGTTTTGTTAGGGAGAGTTGGGAAAGGCAAAAAAAATCAGAAGGACCTTTGATAGTTTCCAAGCTGCCAAGCCTCTTTCACATAGGCTACCACCTGCCTTTTCAGAAAGCGGTGTTGAAAGTTATTTTATTCTCTTTAAGTGCACTGTACTGACAGTACAGAAGGGCTTCAGAGATCCCTTAATCCTGAGCTAGAGGAGGAGAGTCAGCCATGTACACCTGCTGCATTTTTTCCTGCCACAATATATGCAACATAACAGAGGGCTCAGGAGTTTTGGAGAAGTGCCTTTTCACGGAATTGCTAAATTATCCTAGTGTTACGTTGAATGGGGCACATTTTAACTAAGAGCCTAAAGCCAGGCTTCTGTTGAAGGTTTCTGTACATACTTTCTCACAAGCTTGAGATAAAATGTACTTTGCTGGAATACAATAAATTCTGTTTAGTGATTTAGCCACAGAAGAAAATTAAGTACATGCTTTGGAAAGACAGACCCACTGACAGGTTGCTTGGATCTTGTCTGCCCCAGAACCATGTGCAGGGATGGCAGAACGTGGCCTGCAGTTCAGTACTTAGGCATGGATTTTTAAGTCCCAGACCCAGGCTCTCATGTGCTCCAAAAGCCATGCTCTCTTCACTTGCTCACAGTCCTGCTGGGAAGGAGGACTGTAAAATAGTGATCGTTGTGCTGTAAACACCTTCTAGCTCTCTGAGGTATTTTCAGGCATTTTCTCTAAACAGTTGGCAGATAAATTAGTTATGGTAATTTGAACCTTTGAAAAGTGTTGTTTCAGATTGTGTACATAAAGAATAAGCAATATAAACTATTTTCTACTATACTTCCAAGGTTTCTCTCACAACTGTAAGGCTGGTAAAATATCTTAAGCAGAGCTTAGAGCCTGAGGTCACTCATTAACTAGCAAATAAATATAACAACTGGCACAATGGTATACTTGGGAATATTATGACTCTACTAATAAGCTGTAAAAACCCTACACACAGAACTCTTAGTTCCTGTAACTTAGCCTGTAATTTTTCACGTCAGCCAAGAGTTTCACCTAATTTTATTAATGCAAATAAGTTCATAAGTAAAATAGGTCTGGTATTTATTTGTTATAGGTACATAAAAAAGACAAAAAAACCCTGCTCACTTATTCAATTTTCAAACTACTATAAAAATGGTTAAACAACTTATCACCTTTCTGAAGTTAATTCCCTACTGCAAATAAACTTGTATGTCTGGGCAATATGAACCCTCTTTTTTAAGCAGGGGGTTAATCTATATGCTAATCATAATGGTATACAATTAACAGGATACTCCTACTACATTCTGGCAAATACTCTTACAGATGGCAACTATGTCACTTACTGGAGGTTAATCATTAGTATTTTATATGATTTTACAAAATCTTCACAGTAAGCAAGAACTTCCAAAGAGCCACTTAACTTGATAAGCACACTATTCTTGAGTTTGCAAAGGATTTTGAAAAAGATTTAGAAACATATGGTCAAGGTTTCAGTTTCTGATAAATACGAAGAAAATAACGTGATTAAGAAGGAAATCACTGTGATACAAGTATTCTATAAAAACTATGTGCTATATCTACAAATCCTCGTTTAACTTCTATTTTCATCTACTTTTACAGAATACATTTCTTACTTATCCAAGGTAATTAACATTCTTGCAGTTAGTGTAGCAAAATGGGTGCTGGATTCACTGCAGACCCTCATGATGTCTTGTAAACAGTAGAAGACAGGGCATCCAGGGCTGTACGGATATTTTGTATTATCTAAAAAGGAAACATACTCTGAAGATATATTGATGAGAAGAAATAAAATTATTTTCTCTTCTGCATCTCCTTTAGTTAGACATTTCCAACTGAGAGCATAATTTAAAGTAACTCATTTTCCAAACGCTAATGGATAGAAAACGCCTACAATCCTTAGGTAACAATTCATAGATCAATAGGGTATCCATAAAAACCTTGAAGTGTCCAGTTACTGTTCCATCAGTGTGATCAGATTCATCTAAGGGATTAATATTAAATGTATACTGTAGCCATAAAAAAAAAAAAGAACAGAACTCAGGACTAGAAGAGGTGTTTACTACAAGCGGTGACTCCACAGTGAGTTTGGTAGTTTCTACCCTCAAGGCCTGTCAGTAAGGCAAATATGAAGCAGCTTCCCCAAAAGCACACAGATCTTTACTTCAGGCTTTTTTTTACAAATACTTTCCTGACAAGCAATTTACTTTGCCTTCTAGAGATTCTATTCACCATTCCTTATTCAAACAAAACCATTTACAGACTTCAATAACCATTCTCCTCCAAGTAAACACCACTGAACTGACTAGGGCGTCTTTCTTACACTTGCATTCATTACATGCTTGTGTTCTGAAACATAATCAAGTGAACAAATACACCTCAACACAGAAGTGTGCTGTTGTTACAGAAACAAAGGCAATGCAATAAAACCAAAGTTTTTTTCTTAATTTTAGGTAACATTTGCAAATTTTAAAGTATTCAGAGAGAAGCTGCCACCTGAGTGTAACTTTTAATGTTTAGAAGCTGCCACCTGAGTGTAACTTTTAATGTTTAAATACAGAAAAAGCCATACAGCAGAGTCATAAATATTCTTGATAAACCCTCAACTGAACTTCTGTGAAAATAGGTACAACTTCAGAAATGATGCTCGGCGTTACCTTTCACAACAGTTGGAACAATGTAAAGTGATGCCTCCTGGCCTGCCTTCTCTCCATCCAGAGGGAATTTCTTCATTAACACTACACGCTTTCCTAGCATAGTATTAAAAAAAAAAAACACAAATAATTAATTAACCAGCAAACCAAAACAATCTAGAAATAGATATCTACCAAACTCAACTTTCCTAATTTCTAGGAAAAAAAAAAATTGTTATTATGAGTTATAATCTAAGGTAAGCTAAAAAAATATAAATACATATGAAAAAAATAATCTAAATATGCATACACTCATTGACACGAAAAATTACATGGCTGTATCCCTTTTTCCACAGCAACTTTTCTACAGCCCTGGTTTTTCATAGCACTCACCCCTTCCACACTACCTATCTCCAAGTTAAGCAAGGTTCCTTTTGTAATGGGAAAGCACAACTGCATGCTATTTGTCATGGTAGGGTGAATGCTCATTCCTGTAGTGGTAGGACATATTTTCTATGTTATCCTCCCTCTCACCCTTACAGAATTTAGCATTTTGTTTGCTTTTCTGACCTTAGCTGCATGTTTTAGCAGTGGCTTGAGCCCTCTGAGTCAATTTTAAACTCTCTGAACTGTGTATGAAACGCCGGTTTTGATTTCATTCTTCAATATATATTAATGCTATTATGTTATTTCATAATTGCTGCTCAACTAGCTTTTTTAAGTCCATCTCACTCCAGTTATTGCCACCCACATTTTGCCACACAACCAGCTATTCCTTTCCTAAATTGTTAGCACTGCATAGTCTTGGCTGCACCAAGAACCTTCCCAGCACAACCTTACTTCCAAAGCAGAGATAACATACACATCAAAAAAACCAGTGCCTTAGTTGTACAGTTTAGCCCAATCTGGAAATTAAATACATTGGCTAAAGCAATTTTTGTCAGCACAAGCGTGAGGCTGTTAGCTAGACTGGCTAGGCAACAACAATGAAAATGCACTAATGAAATGATATCTGTGATACAGTTATACCAGAAATATTTTCATGGAGATACCATCCACTGAACAATGCTGGCCTTAGAAGAGACTTTAGAAGCAATCAATTCACTAGTTCAAGTCAAGTTTTAGCTGAAATTAACATAAAAAAGCCAGAAATTCAGCTGTACCTCTCAATGTGAGTTGAAGAAGCAGTACAGAAAGGCAAAGTTTCACTTAATAATCTTCTAGTAAGCATTTTATACAGTTGGAAGGTAAAGGGAAATGAAGGTAAATTAACGGTTTAAGGTGTACAGTTGATAGACTTGGTTTGGTGCCTTTTTTTTTTTTTTAAATGAACCTCAACAGATACCTTCTTTTTTTAAACTAATGTCATACTTTTGCACAACCTTTCTGTGCCCATTTAATTTTTTAAATATTGTTATTGAGCTATCAACAATAAATCAGTTCAAAATGTTTTTACCTTTAATACCCTGATTGGCCGGCGAAATTGGTTTGGTGGCTTCTAACACATAATCCAAGATGCTCTGGGTTATCTCAGTGCCTCCCTGCAGTTTAGTTTCCAACAAAACTTTCTTTCTCTTTTTCTTTTGGCCTTCAATGGGAACTTCGAGCAACAGAATCTTTCAAATAATAACGAAAGCAAAGGAGGCTAAGCATAACTGAAACAAGTACAGAACACTTATTAAAAAAAATTGTTGTACCACTGTAAAAGCAGTAACAAAGTTCAGGAAGTGTTGAACGTGGAGGAGGAGGATGGTGAAGTCAGAATGACCCCCATAACAGTGAGATAAGAGAATAAGACAAGGACGCACCCTTGTACTGAGCAGCCTACAGGCCAAAAGGCCCTGAAGTGATATGAAACACACAGTTATTCAAAACCATCATGTGTTCAAGTGCCACAGGGATGGGGCAATGCAATACACAGTAGATATTTGATATACATAGACATTAAGCAATGTTACTGTCATATTTTTGCTTTTATATTATTATAGATCTACTGTAACTTTTTTTTAACTGTAATAAAAGAATTAAATAGTTTTACTTCATAGGACTTTGCTCGATATTCCCGAGAATTCAGGCTAGCAGTATTTTTTGGACGAATCACAGCAACATATGCATCTCCAATGTTCTCTGGGTTTCCCATGTCTCCTTATTTCATCACTGAAAATAATGAATAAACAGGAAGTAAAGGTTCAGTTTTAAAAAAAGAAATCCAACAGAATGCTAAATTTCAGGATGCACTAAATGTATCCACTGATTTGTTGCATTATTCATTTATTGTTCTTTCGCCAGAGAAATACCAATGGCTGATATAATTCAGGAAAGATGAAAATCCTATATCACACAGATTTAATACCATCAATCTTGTTCTCTAACCCATTTTCAAAATAAAAAAAATGTATATTTTTTTCCATTTTGAAATACCTTCCCCATTTGCAAGCCAGGCACAAGGCCAAAGAACTTTAGGACTCTGAAAAATATATTATATTGAAAAAGAAAACCATTCTACAGTGACAAGCACTGTGATTTACAAAATGTGTCATGACAAAGTACTGCATTTCTATGGGTTCCAGAGATTTCAGGAAAATATCTGGTTTTCCTACCCCACCCTAGGAAGCAGAACAGTCTTGTCTACACCCCAAGTAACAAAGCTGCTAAAGAATTAATTTGCTTAATTTTACTTCAGTGATGCAAACTCATGCACAAGTCATTCCAACACAGAGCTTCTCAAAGGCATACATCTTCAGTTTTTGCAAAAAAAAATAGACAGATTTAAGACACAACTTTGTTTACATTTCTGTTTGACCCAAACTGGTAATTCCTATAATCATAATATCGTATGAAATTTATAGTGAAAGCCTCCTAAGGCTAAATCACTTCACATATCAGATTTGAAAAAGAAGGTCATGTCTAGCCATTAGCACCTTCCACCTCATAATTTTCTTCATCTGAAAATAAACTCCTTTCCACTCCATACCATCAGTAAGCACATGCTTTTTGCAGATTAATCCTCCCATAAAGTTTTTTAGCATTACTCTTTTTAGCTTCTTCACCTCTTCTAGGAGAAACAGAGGTCTTCAGATTCCCATGCCCTTAGTCCAGTATTTTTGCTAGGATTGGACTACCTGAAAACATATTAAAAAACAAAAAAACCCATAAATAACAGCATACACATTTTCACCTTCATTTAAGATAAATACATTAGTTAGATGATTTAATGGTGGTACAGTAACATCAGAATAGAAACATCTATTGATTTGGATTACAGTAACATCTAGAAACATTAACTAAGCACTGTGCCAACTTGTGAAAGCTCACGCTTTGAGATATTAAGAATTTTTAAAGGAACAAGCAACATCTGCCCCTAGCGGCCAGGTGGAATGGGCATGCTCCTTGGGTTTTCTTATGTGTACCAGGTTGTACCGAGTTTGGGTCACAGGCTTGTGTGGAGGGAACCTGTGGTGCAGGGCTAGGCAACCTGCTTGGCAGGTGGCAGTCAAGTGAAAAAGCAGTGGGTGAACTCCATCTGTACCACGTCCCGGGTGGCGTGAGGATGTCTGGGAAACAGCCCCGAGGGCTGCGATAAGACTCAAAAAAAAAAAAAAAAAAAAGGATGAGGGACGTGTGGAGCTGTAAGAACGTGACAATAACGACGTCCAATTTCGGAAGGCACCACTAGTGAACTGACCCCCACCCAATCCACGCCACGCTCCCGACAGCGTCTAGAGAACGAGTCTCAGCCGCGCT